TAACATCATCAGCAACTAACTTTTCAGTTCTGATAAATGTGCCAATAATGCTGAGTAGTTGTTTATATTGAAAATAATTCTTTAAAGTTATTTGTACAGCATAATCTAAACTTCACACAGCCTCACACTAAAATAAAAAGAAAGTCGTTTAAAAGCTCAAATGAAAAAATGGCTTTAATCTAAAAGTATGTCTAATCTATGTCTCACCATATTTTCGGCCCCTTAGTATCAACTGAGTGTCAGTTTAGATCATTTCAAACTGGTTTCCTGAACATGACAATGAGTTCATGTCACAGGGTGGAATGGACAACGTTTAACTTAGTATTTTTATTTCCTTGCATGTAGTGTTTTGTTTTATTCTTTGATTTTTATTTATTTATTTATTTTTAATGTGTAGTGTTTTATTTTGTTGGGTTTTTGCATGCTTTTGTTTTGTTATGTGATTTGTTCCGGGGAAATGCCCATTCCTCCGCCCCTCCTGATCATTAACCTGCCACACCAGAACGAAGAGTCAGACAGGACGGCGACGATCCTGTTGGTTTCTGCGCCATTTTGACTCTTATGGGACTTGATCTTCATGGCTGAGGCTAGTGCATTTTAGCTGCATTGTTTTAACTGCTTTTAATGTTTTTAATGTCATTTTTCTGCCTGGCCAGAGTATTTTAGTGCTTTTTTTTGTAAATAAATTATAGTTTTAACAACTTGAGTTTCTATTTACTACTTCCCTTGGCTGCTCCACTGCTCTTCCCGTCAGAAGGGTTTCCCTTCTGTTTTAAACTTACCATCCGTTAATCCTCTATTACATTCACAGTACTCAAATGGTCTCCACAGCTACCAGATCATCCAATGAGGCACCGGTGGGATGTGGTGACATGGTTGATTTGCAGGATGGATGGGCAGCTGACAAATCTGCATCAACGGTGTGACACTGCCACGGTTTAGGTTAGAAACCCCAAACAGTGATATCAGCATGGAGCAAGATCTCAGAGGAATGCTTCCAGCATCTCGTTGACTTTATGCCATAAAGAATGGAAGCATTTCTGGAAGCAAAATGGGTCCAAGCATGACATTAATGCCCATGATGAGTGTATATAAACTACGCTACATGTGTGGTAGAAGAGGTAACTAGCTATGTGTCCATAAATTATAATGATTTTGCAAGCGGTACATCCGTGCATTGAAATTATAATCTGAAAATACTCTATGCAGTATATCCAATACCAAAAAAGTGCCGAAATAATGAAACTGTTCTGAAGTCCCAAAGTCACCACACATCAGCAGAAGAACAAGTTACAGTACTCATGTATTTCAACCTTGTGATTCCTGAATTCTAAAATCAGCAGTTGTAAGTGCTCATACTGGAAGTGTAACAGGTAAGCAGCAGCAGCAAGGTTTTTATTCTGTAAAGTAGTGGAGAGTGACTCGGCTTCAGCTCCATCGAACCTCAGACAAATAAGAGCTTCTGAGATGTCTGGAAACACCCTGCGTACACAGCTGGCTGGCTTTCCAACCTAAACAGTCAGAAACATGTGATGTACACACACCTCAGAAATCACAGCAGGTCCAGAGACTGTTGTCACAAAACATCATCAAAGTGAGGCAGAGGTGAAACATCAGCTCTGTTCATATCCAGAGGATATACGGAAGGTCAGGCAGGAGCTTAAGACTGTGTTAAAACACAGCTCAGTCGGCCTTCAGTGTTTACTTCCTTAAGGTGTGAAACAACACTGAGTAAAGCACAGACTTCAGGTTATGTAAGGAATTATTTACAATTTGTCCAAGAATGAGAAAATACAGGTAACTGATTTAAAGGAAGCTAATGTTTTAATAGGGAAACTTATGATGGCAATATTTGACCTTAAGACCCATGTTTGAC